TGAAACGCGAATTTGCGAACGGCGGTTAACAGATGACAGGCTCTTACATCATTGGCAGAGGAGATATAAAGAGATGTTGATCTCATCGGACAGTCGTTTCGTGGTTGTTGCCTCCTTAAGCTGGCCCCCGAAAAATGTGGTGTTGATTTGGGACATGGAAGCAAATGCTTTGAGAGAGTTAAAAGACAGACCGGTCTATGTTACTGCTCTTGCGTTATCCCCAGACAGCAAAACACTCCTTTGCGGTTCGTACGACGGTCAGATATGGGCTTTTGATCTGGAACGGGGAGTTCTGCGAGAAAAATTCACCGGTCATACGAAATTGATCACTGCGATAGCATTTTCTCCGGATGGGCAGAACTTTGCATCGGCATCATTCGATAACACAATAAGGATCTGGGGACCGAAGTCACAAACCCCGCTAGTACTGAGATCTGAAGACCGAATGGAGAAGCCATGTTTCTCAACAGACGGTAGGATGCTCTACACTTATAACTTCAAAAGCATATGTGAATGGGACATTGAAAAGGCGAGCATTGTGCGCACACTCCATCGGGGCCCTTAGGGTGGTTCTATACTTATCGATGGACGCTTTGTGTCGTCAGCGTTCCTGCCTGTCGTGGACAGGTTAGCAGCCAACGAATCTGCGCAGCCCCAAGCGCAGGAGGACTCTTCCGCCTCAACAGAGTCAACTTCGATGTTCCACGGCCGACAAATCTGGGCCTTGGATCATACAACATATGAAACAAATAATTGGATCACTGTCAATGGTAGGAAGATGTTCAAACGCCCTGATCAGCTGGAAACATTTGGTTGGTTCTTGTGCGGACTAACGATGGTTGTTCCCAACATAGAGACTGATTATACTGTTTTATATTTTACGGACAAAGTTCCCTTTTAGAAAAAATGGATTTGTTCAAATTTCCAACGTTCCCAATTACTTAACTGAGCGATACAGTCGGTCCGTGCCCCTGAATTTGTAGCTTTTTCTGGAGAACCAATGCAATTCACGATATGGTCATCGCCGCCAGACCACATGAGGAAAGGGCCTTGTTTCGTTCCTTTATAGGCAGATGCCAGTCCTCGGCCGCGTCGTGCTGTGGATGACTCCACGCTCTGTGGTGGTGTTGGGCGCGCCGGGATTCCATGTGCATTTCCCATGACCGGCATCTGCGCAAGAATTTGGAGGGATCTATGGTGATGTATTTCCGCTGAAATTTTGAAGGGAAGCACTGGGACGGTCAGCTTAACGATACAAAGTCCCCAAAGGCCATTTGTTATAATTGTGAGGAGATGTGTGCCAGTATGCATACAAGTCTCTACGAAAAACTGGTTGACGCGTCAAGTCGAGAGCCGAGCGCCGCTTGATAGAATCGAATTAGAATCGCTAATACCGTCCAAAAACGGCATGATCTTTACCTTCGTCTCCTTCTCCTTCCAGGTGGTTGCCAGATTGGCTTCAGGCCACAGGGGTTCAGCCAGCCTTAGCTGTCGACTTGAAATCTTTAGTTTCTGACCACAAGGGCTCAGGCTCTACGGTCGTCCTGACAATTGGCTTGCCCCCATTTTCCTCTCCAGCTTGTCTAGCACAGCCGACATCCTAGCCCTTTTCCTCCATGCCCACCAACGATAAACAACGCCCCATCTCTTCGGTTCCAGCAACTACCAATCTGCCTGACGGAAGGCGAAGCTATGGCTGCCTTAGCGAAAAAAAACTCTCTCTGAGGACATGCTTGTCGCTTGTACTGCAAGGACGTCCCTGGCTATCGTCGTAGAAATTTATGTTGCCTCACCGTCTTGCACCACGTCAACGCTTCAGTTTCTCTGGGCACTGGGGGAAAAGCCTTGTGCCGTCCATGGAAGGAACTTCCTTTCTCCGACAGCACGCCCGAGATGAGGGCCGACATTTCGTCATGAGCAGCATAAATATCAAATTGCTCTTCTGCCGGAATGCCCGCCGAGTTAGCTCTTGCGGCATGCTCCTTTCGGGGCCACCTCTGCGATCCCAGACCAGAGCATGTCGCCGGTATAACTGAAGCTGAAACGCGGGTCCAGCATTTCTGTGTGTCTTGGAAGAGGTGATGTACACAGCCAACTCCCCGGCATGATGCTGCGTCACACGGGGTAGGTTGCGTGACGCAGCATCATGCGGCGATTGGGCAACTAATCTCGGAAATATCGCGAACATATCAAGGCTATTGGCAAGTCAAGCACATACAGATAAATATCATAAGAGAACACGGCCGTTTTGCCAAAAGTACATTCTCCACCGGAAGAATCAGATAATACTAAACCCCCTTACAAATCTCTTGCACATATTAATCTCAAACAGCCCAGCAGGATCAATTATCATGCGTTCGCATGTGGATGTTTTCGATCCAGCGATTGCCATGCACGCCGTCTGTGGAGTGCCTCCAGGCAAACCCTTCAACGCTTTCCCGTTCTCTTCTGGTTGCGTCAGGCACCCAAACATTTCGGCAATCCACAGTGCAGAAGTGTTGCACGTTTGGGACATTGTAGATTGAGCCCACGGGCATTATTGTGAATCGCTCACAAGAGGCCAACAAGGTAACCTAAAGGTGCCACGCTGGTCTTCCAATGTGGTTGTATAAAATTCCTCAAGAAGGGCGACGCGATTGGCTATGCCCAGCTGTCTCAAGAGAAATCTGAGCCGGAAAATAGTCTGACCACCACATTTCACAAACGATCAAACACTGCACTTGACAGGTGCATGCAAGCGGGTAAATGCCTTGTACGAGTATTGGGACCAGCCAAGCCAAACTTCGTAAAAAGCCCATCATGAGCTGGCAAATCCCCTGGTGGCAATTGTATGCTCATCGTGTGGATCGGTGCAGCCGGGTCAACGGGAAGGCCCAGCAGCCGTCGCATCCGCGGCTGGTTGAGAGCCTCGATGCACTTTTCCCCAGCCTGTGTCATATGTGTGCCATCATGACACCACCAACCCCGGTTGGCAAGATAAATTTTAGCCGCTCCAATTGACGCATGACCAGCGGCATCAAAGGAATTTGCTTGATGGTTTGAGTACCGTACGTAACCCCGCAGGTGCCGATTGAGCGACTCTGGGATCTCCGAGGATGTTCCTTGCAGTGGGCCAAATCTGCGCACCATTTCAGGCACATGGGCAAGCATATGAAGCTCTGTTTTTTTTTCCGATGCTGTCCAGGCCCCAGACGTCGGTTTATAGCTGAAGCATACGTTCGTAACGATGCTTGAACAGTGCTTCCCACCGGTCCATGTCTTCAATCTGCCTAGAATATATCATTCTGGCAAGATGGGCTGCGACACACCACAGCATCAGGAGCCTACGGACCGGACCCATCCCATCTTCAGGTCCATAATTGCAGCCATGGGATCAATAGAAGAGACATAGATTCTCACTGCGATAGGGTTGGTCGATCCATTTATATGTCCTCGCAAATACACTACTCTCTTGCCTTCATCAGAACGGACGTCTTCCACTATCTCCAGCATCGTGATTTGCCTCATTGTAGTAATGAAACTATCTGGATCGCACTCGTTGCTGTTACAGAAGAAGTCCCAAGGAGCCGATGTAATCTTCACAATAGGGTAGAAGTATGCTGTAGCCTGGTATCCTCCCAATACAACTCCATGTTCTGCCATAGCACGCAATATGGGTGTAGCATCTGCTCTCAATGGCGCCAAGTGAGCAAGTGGATCTTCGATACATTGACGTGTGAGACCAAGGTTGCCGGCCAGATCTCGATCAAGGCCCGAAAATCCGAGCCCACAAAGGACTTGCTCCAAAGCAGCATATGTTGCGCGCCCATAAAACTGTTCATCTCATCCCGGCTTGAGGAGGCTACGCAGAGAGCCAACTCCTCAAAGTCCGACTTAAATCGTCGGGTCATCCAAGGACTGGTGCCAGAGGCTTCTGACAAACCCCAGTGGCACACCATGCAATATTTCAAATGGGATATCCTGGTGCGGATCAAATCCTTGCAAGTGTTATAGTGAGGAGATCGGTGGCTTGATGCCATTCTCAGTTCTCTCAAGTGCCCGAGAGTACTTTTCGGATCTGAGTGCTGCCGCCGAAGCCACATCTTGCCACGACGTAACACTTGCTTTGTTGAACAAGCAATTGCAGCAAGACCAGTTACTCGTGTGCTGATGGGAGATCTATACGCGTGGCACGCCGTTTGGTAACTTTATCAAGCTTGGTATTATAATTGTGAGCAGATGTGTACCTGCATACAAATCTCTACGGAAAACTAGTTGACGCGTGAAGTCGAGAGCCGAGCGCCGGTTACTAATAATGCGCGTAATATACCGCATATTCACAACACTTGGCTGGACGGCCCGCATTGCTATCTACAACGTTTGCACCCTTATCCTTCAGCTCCTTGTGGACTCTTTCGACGTTACCCTTGTTACATCCGGAGTCTTTCGCGATTTTACGGACCGGTTTGCCCGATTTCATGCCAGCGATGATGTTCTCACGCTTAGACGGTCCCAACGGTCGCATGTTGATCAGATCTGAAAATCTCGATTGTGAGTGGAATCTGCAGACTCTGGAATTCGTTGTGTTCACTCTTTACGTGTGTCGAGGTGTTGCGTACTGAATATGACTTGTTGCTTGGCTGATGTTGATGTTTTGGCGCGTCGCTAATAAATTGTCCCACGAAATTGCATCACTTCAACATCAACTTTCTCGCGCTATATACCACATACATAGACGAATCTACTCTCGTTCGATAGCGCATTCGAAGCGCCATCAAATGGTACTACTCTCAGATTTATACAGTTGATAAAGCGCAGGCAATGGTTTTGATGTGTCAATAACCCTAAGATCTGGAATAATTTCTTGGGGCACTGTATTTCAAGCCCTTCCGGTCAAAACATTCGCGAATCCAAACTTCCAAAAAGAGACTGCAATGTCAACCTCATACTCGCCCACCAAGTTTTACATGTTTTCAATTTTACTGATATATTTTTCTTTACCTGAAGTGTTATTATAGTAGTCCTCATTGGTCTAGTGGTCATGATTTCCGCTTGTCATTGATTCCCAATTTCAAGCGCGGGAGACCAGGGTTCGATTCCCTGATGGGGAGCATATTTTTTTTCCCTTGTCATTCGCTTTACAATCCAAGGACTGGATGGACAGTGAATGATTACGGAAAGTTTGCACTCCTCCGACAGTAGCTGGGGTTGATATTTTGCTTGCGATGGCTTCGATGAATATACACGGCGCTCATAGAGGGCTAGATGGCATTTTGAATCGTTTTATTCTGATTGTTTAATAGTGACTGGGGTTTCTGGGAAGAGATAGGTTACACGGTTGGGCAGCGTGCATTGCTTCGGTGGGAAGGTTTATGAGAAACTCATCTTCCTGAATGGCTTCCTGAAGCTGGATTGCAAATTCACGTCGGTTAGGTTTATCATGGTAAACCCTACGAGAAGAACTGATGGAGTATTCAATTGCAGCACATGAACCGGCCAATTTACAGAATGGTTTGCGTACATATGAAAAAAAAAAACGGCTCCATGGACTACAGAACTACGCCTCCTCTTCCTCGTCTGTCTGGGGCTTGGGTTCTTTGAGACCAAACACGTTCTGTACCATGCCGGCGCCTTTGTAGTCATCGCTCGGGACGCCCGTGATGGGCTCGATTTTATTTTCCTGGAGAGACCGTCAGCTCCTGCTTTGGGACCACGACGGACTTGAATCACCTTCATGTACTCGTTGGACTTTTCTTGCCATTCTTTGCTCATTGTGGCTGGGCTGGCGCCGCCCATGCTGTAGCGCGTGAGGGAGAAGAGAGCGCCGGAAACAAGAAGACCACCTGTGACATAGAGGATGATTTTGCGACCCTCGTTGGGCGGGGGTAGAGCTCGAGGACCGTGCGGACCGAATGCGATCCAGTATGCTGCATTGGTGTGAGCTTGGCGGTCAATGTCCAAAGGAAGGAATCGGACGTACCGGCTCTCTTTTCCTGGGTCGTCAACTCATGCCAGTCGACCTTCATGCGGTCCCGCAGAGCCATCCAGAGCTCGGCCTGCTCTTGCGGAGGCATGCCCTCCCAGCGTTTCTCAATGTTGGCCAGCGTCGGGTTGCTGATGGCGTGCGCGTTGCGCCGACCGACAACGGGCACCGGGCCGCGAATGATGGAAGGGGCGCGGGCAAACGATGTGCGCAACATTTTGCAGAGTGGAGAGAGGGTGAGGTGTGTGTCCGAAGCCTGAAGCGCGAGATCACGGGGGGGTTATCGGGCCGGGCCGACAGTTTGTCAAAATCATCAACGCCTACATATTCTAGCTTTCTATTTCTCTGACATGCGCGCTGGAGTCACGCCGAGCCCGTTGCGGTTGCGGAAGAACAAAACCTTTTTATCGTCGCCCATTGCCCCCTCGTTGGGCTCCACCCACTGACACCAACGCGGCGCCTCCCACAGCGCACGCATGAAACCAAGCGGCCCGCCCTTGGTATTGGAACGGTAGTGCTGGCCCATGATAGGCTTGATAGCCTCGGTCGCCTCGTCCGCGTGGTAGAACGGAATGGTGCAGACATAGTGGTGCAGCACGTGAGTTTCGATGATGCCGTGGAACAGATGGCGACCGATGAAACCAAACTCGCGGTCAATCGTGGCTGCAGCACCACGGGTGTAACTCCATGCATCGCCTGTATAGTGGGGCAATGTAGGGTCAGTATGCTGGAGGTAAGTGATGGCCACTGCAATTGTTAGCCCTGTACTCGATGCTTCTCGACACAAAATGCATACCCAGCCAGTGGTTCACCCACAAATAAGGTGCAATGTACCATACAGCCAAATTGGCCAATCCATACTTTTGACCAATCAAATAGAGAATAGTACCAACGATGACAAGGCCAAGATCAGACAACAAGATCAAGTGCTCTTCCTTGCGGTCATACAGAGGGCTGCTGGTGAAAAAGTGATTGACGCTGAAGTCACCGTTATGCTTGCCCTTTCCCTTGCCTTCGTGCTGCCGCTCATGGTTGTCATGTCCAGTGACATTGGCAACGAGGTAATAAGGCCAGCCAACCAGCTGCTGACTTATCAAATGCAGAGCCGTCCAGATGGGCGTCTCCTCGAGGAGTTCGTGCATCTCATGCATGAGCCAGCCCATGCGGGATGCCTGTTCTTCCCGCGTACGGGGCACAAAGACCATATCACGCTCCATGTTGCCAGTGGCCTTGTGATGAGCGCGATGGCTGAACTTCCAGCTGAAGTATGGCACCAACAGGGCAGAGTGGCAGAACCATCCCACAGTGTCGTTCAAAGTCTTGCTGGGCGAAAAAGCCTGATGACCGCATTCATGGGCCAATACCCACAGCCCGGTGCCGAAGAGACCTTGCACGAAGGTATAGATGGTCCAGAGGACGGCCCGGGCCGGCTGCCAGGGCACATACTGTGGAGTACAGAACGTGTTGAAAAGCATGAACGTTACAGCCAAGGAGAGAATGTCTCTAGCCACGTATGCCAACCCACGCAGCCCCGACCTCTCATAGCAATGCTTTGGGATCGCATCGCGAATCTGTTTGATGGTGTAATTCGGCAGCGTAAACTCGTCACCATATGTGTTGACCAGCTTCTTCTTTGAGGGGAACTCGTCGGCAGCGAGCGAAGAGAGCGACGTTGCCGAAGACGCCGGCCTCGGTGATCCGCTCGGCGAGGCCTCAGATGAGCTTGGAATTGTCGAAGCTGTAGCCGAAGTCGTGGCCGAAGGCACAGTGTTCGCAACGGAACGGCGAAAGGCCGCAGAGGAAGGTACGGTGCTCATTGTGGGCGACGGAATGACAGAATTCAGGCGATGTCGTCGGCCCCAAGATAACGGTGGGGCAGAGTTGGCGCCCCTGCCAAGCCTTGAAATAGGGCCAGGTTAAGGCCGTAGCCAAATCTACCTCGGGTGCCTGAGGCTGCAGCGACGGTAACAACACGATCCACGATAGAGCTAAGCCAAATCGGGTAGTTTTTCCACACCGCTCCCAAAATGGACGCCTGTGATCGTGTCATGTCCGACGCACATGTCTCTGTGTCTGTGCATGCGACCGAAGATAGATGCAGAATATGGCAAAGCCTGTGAATTCTACCTAACTGGAGCAGCATCGCTTATTCCTAATTCTCATTCGTAGAAGCTATCAAGTCCCTGGCATCTCTTGCGCCTGCCGTGGCCAACATGTCTGCTGCCTCGTTCCCTTCGTCCTTGTTGTGGCCCTTGACCCATTCGAACCTGACACCAGCCGGCCCCCGCTCCCACGGACCGGTTCCATTTTCATAGGCGACCTGGCGGCCTTCGTTTATCCGCAGACGCTCCTCAAGCTGTGAGATGATCTTTTGTATGAGATCTTTATTTTCCACCGGCTTTCCTAATGACCCAATCCAACCATTCTGACGCCATTTGAAGCACCACTCGGTGACGCATTTAATGGAGTACATTGAGTCAGACAAAATGACCAGTTTTCTGTCCTTGGGTGAAAACTCCAGAGCCTTTGAAATTGCTGTAAGCTCAGCCCGTTGGTTTGTTTGCTTCGGCCCAGCCAATCCTTCTGATATGTTCCGCTTATCGCTGGGCCCAAAGTAAACGCCTACGCCCGCTACGGCACCCGCCCGCCCATTCGCCAGCGATGCACCGTCTGTGTAGATGCGCACTGGAGCAAAGACGGTTGGACGAGTCACCGCGAGTTTAGTACGCGTGAGCTCCGCGCCTGTCTTGTAGCGCAATCCACCAGATCTCGGGTCGAGAAGGATGTTCGCATCCAGTTCGCCGGACGCTCCGGTGCTCAGCGGTGCCTCTCCAGGGGGATATTCGTCGAGCTTGGCCTTTTTGCTTCTCGGACCTTCTTCAGCATCTTCAGTAGCTTCTCTTGTTCCTCTGAGAAACAGCTCTGCCTCAACCTTTGTTGGAAACGCGCAATGTGATGAGTTCTTGAAGCCGGTAATCTGCTCAAGCACTTCTCCCCAGTTCTTGTAAACGCCCGGACGGCGCCCTCGTTGAACCGCATACCACTTCTCCGCCGCGTCTTTCACCTTTACAAACTCTTCCGCTTCATTTAGCGTGCCAAATGATTTGAAAGTGGCCTTCGGGAAACCTTTTGTCTGCGCGGCGCATTCCTCCCAGGTTTCGTATATGCCGGGTACTCTGCCAACGCGCACGGCGTAGTATTTGAGTCCGCGCTTCCGCTTGACGCCAGCCATGAGGATTCTGACCCAAGCGGCCGTAATTGCTTGCAGTGCCAATCGTCGGATGCGAGGCAGCGTGATGTTACGAGACTGTGGGGTGGTTCACGCGGCGTTTCCCGTTATGCGATGAGGCGTCTTTGAATGCGGGGGAGGCTGGTGGGGTTGGCGGGGCTTGATGAAACGTCAACCCTGAAAGGTTGGGTCAAAGAAGGGTTCAGACAAGACACGAGGTCTAGGGTTGGCGGTCCATGATCCGAAATGCAGTTTACCATCACCACTGAAAACTGTGTTGCTGCTCCGCTGCACCATGCAGCAATAGAGTTTTGTATCCCGCCATTTTCCCTGCTGTCTATCAATCATCAACTTTGTTCCCGCACACACTCCAAGACTTTGTTGCGGTGAGGAGCAGATCCTTGTCAAAAGCCATGTTTGAGGTATATCTTACCCCGAGTCTTCCATCATATTCTACTCTAACAACGCCAGACACGCCGCGCAGCTGACCGCTATCGTCTGCGGCTGCATCGAGCTCGATCAGTCATCTTGACATCTCAAGAACTGGTCGACATTAGGGCAGCACAACGGACATTCGAGGGAGCCTACATCCGGACATCGCTTGGACAGTTCAGCTTCAGCCTCGTCGTGCTCAAGATCTTCACTCAAGAGTTCTACAGCATCGGAGCATTGTTCGCAGCTTACGGTGCGGGACTCGTGGCAGTCAGCGCCTTTAGACGGATGCAAGGCAATCGGCAGTTTTTCAGCGAGGTGGGGTCAGATGGCTTCGCGCATAAACGGTCCGTTTTTTTTTTTTTAAGGTGAGCATGACCCTGGCTGATCTAGACAGGTTTCGCACCAGTGGTGACGTCGTGCTGGCTTTGTCAGCTATCAGCATAGCTGCATACATCACATTACTG